AGCTGTGTTGGCCATTTAGCAAATTCAAACAAAAATCCATCAGTGATACCTTTATTGGCCAACCAAAATACACAATATACTTGCAAGCTTTCGAAGCTCCATGGGCTTCTTCATCAGCTTACAACAAGTATATTGTGCATTTTGGTTGGCCAATAAAGGTATCACTGATGGATTTTTGTTCATACAGGAGACACACTGCCTCTTTCTCTCTCAATGTGCTTTCTCCAGCAGGGAAGCCTGCTGGAAAAGGCATAGCAGAAGAACACAGTTCTTACTTCTCTCTGTGTGTTCCTTTGAAGTGGAACTATTGTCAACAAACCAGCTCACGCTAGCCAAGCCCCCCTGGAATAAGCAGTTGCGCTCCAGGGTTACCAAGCGTCACAACCGCAAAGTAGGAGAAGACACCGCAAAATATAGGGCATCCAAGAAGAATGTAGGACACTACAAAATAAAAGCTAAAAGCACTCATATAAATATAAATCCATACTTCCCTATTATCTGTGGTTTCAGGTTTCTACAGTGGGTGGTGGTCTTGGAACATAACCTCCGTGGATACAGGGGTCATATTGCATAGTGTGCTAGAATATTTAAAAACAAACAAACCTGGAGACATATATGCTCTCATAACTTTCCTAATTGGCTCTGAACACAGCTCACACTCTAAACCTCCCAAAATGCAGGAAAAATTACGCCATGTTACATATAGATGTAGGCAGAACAGAATAACATTTCAATATCTTGAGTGCTAAATTATAGCATTTTTCATTTCTCTAAATGTAAGAAAAATAAAGATTTTACTAAGCATTATAAAATTGGTTCAGAAAATGTATTTCTGTGTTGGAATTGGCATGCATATCACTTGTAGGGCATAACATAGCCATCACAGTATGTATTTTCATTGTGAGTTCTTACAGTGTATTTCTGCTAGGAAGTTCTTTGCAGTCTCCCATCACATCTAGGCACAGGAAAGCATCTGAATGTGATCATATTACTTACAGACAGGTTGCATGCTAATTCCTAAGTGCGGTTTGGTCTCTCATTCTCTCCCTCC